TAGCCAGTGCTAATATCAAATGGTAAAGGGACCATTTCACAAACATTTACTTCAAAAGTAGATAAAGTTACTTACAGTTTTATGTACAGTTTTATTAGATACTGCCAAATTCACTTGTGTTCACACATGAGTGAATGTTGACAATACAAAAAGTTCATATGAGTGTAGCCTAGATTAATGCCTAGATCAATGAAATAGATTAGAACCAAGAGAGATTCAAAAGCATTTAAAAGCATTTTGATGTATTTGGGTATAGCACAAAAACAGTATAGTAGATATTTAGATATTGAGAAGTTTCCAGCACAAACACCATTGTAGAATAACTGACCCCAACCCCAAACATAATTAGCTACTATTAGGATAATACTAATTTGATTAATGATGTACATTCATCCCAAACTGCCTGACAATAATATCTTTAGATAATAAAAAGTAATAAATCACTGACCACTATAGAAGTGTAAATGTTGACCATTTGCCTTACTGTGTTCACAGTTTTATTCCTGAGAATGAGAATAGACATGGAGCAAAATCCCACTAACAATATGCCACTGATAATGAGAGTGTAAAACTAAAGAGAGATTTATTAGATTAAAATGTATGTTTAAGAATATGGCTCAATAGAAGCAAATATGCAAACATATTTGTAAATAGATTAGAATAGTTTTAAACTATAGTGAATAGAGAGTAAAGTACACAGTATAAGATTAAAAAGTGAAAATAATACAGTGAAATAAGTGAAGTGTAGTGTAAACAATTGTCATTAGAATAAAAGTATAGAGTAATAAAAGTGAAATTAGCTTCAAAATTGAGACTCAGCTCGTTTTTGTCTGTGTTTTGACTGAATCTGCTGAGTTCTTGTGTGTCCAATAGTTTTTGTTTGTTTTTATTTTTGTTTGTTTTTATTTTTGATTTGTTTTTTGTTTGTTTATTTACTTTATTTTTGTTTGTTTATTTGAGATTATGAGTTTAATGCATACATTTTCTTTGTTTTTAATAATTTTTTGAAGTTTTTTTTTTGGAATTTTTTTTTTTTCTTTTTCCACTTTATTGATTGATCAAATTGAGTGATCACATGTGATTATGTGATCAAAGGGGAGGGTATTAGTATTAGATAGCAATATGGCCTACGTGCAGGACTGTACAAGGACTCTACAAGGACTCCATGTTATGACTATGATGTGACTGTCTCTTTGTGACACGTATGTCTTTCGATGTGTGACGTGACAATGACTATATAAACTGTGTACTGCCTTTATTCTGTCTGAGGAAAAGAAACAGAGTAAACCAGTGGAACTTGAGAGAAACTTAAATAAACTTCCAGAGTTTGGCACACCACGATCCGTCTCTGTCTGCCTAAATCCTAACACTTCAACCTTTAAAATATGTATTATGTACTTTTGCACTGTGTGATTAATTATCTATGAACATTTATCTCAGCATATATTCTACTAATTTAAAATAATTGCAGCATTTTTCAAATGAAGTCAGTATGAATTGGAGCACATTTTAGACCAGTCTCCTCTGCTGTGGCATCAGCAGGAGCAAGGGCAGGCGTGTAGTCAAAACAAAAACAAAAGTCACCACTTGCATGTGAATTGGGTGAATTGGGTACAGTTCAACTTAATAATACTAATTCCCTCTTTCTTTTTTAGACGAAGTCTATAATCAATAATCACTTTTAACACAGATTCTAATTTAAATGTTTGAAAAACGGCTTTTGTAACTAAAATAAAAACATAAAAACAAACACAACTCACAAAAAGTTAAGAAATAAGCAGCAGATTTAAAAAGAATGGAATCTAGAAATATGTTAGGTCTAAAAAGAATTGCACAGCTTTAGCACTAATCTTTGGGTTTCAAAAACATACTAATTCAAAACTTCTATTCCCTAAATGTGTTTAAAAACGTTTAACTGTGTCATAACACAATGTTCAATGGCAAATTTTGCAAATTTAACGGAATAACAACTATGAAAAGCCAAAAATCCTAAAGCAGTAGCTTTGCTCTGATTCAGAGCCAGAGCAGCGAAGGAGGGGGCCGTTTCACTGACAACGGCAGCAGATAGAGCACACACACACAGGCAGAAAGTAGTGTTTTAGCAAAAATGCAAAAACAGAAAGAAGAATAACTTTCAAGATTACTTTTTTAAGCAAATATAACTGATGTTGTTCTTTAAACTTTTGTCATCCAAGTCTAGAAATGGCCAATTTCCACACTTGTAACAAAAGGCACTCTTTAGTGTTTAACGTTTCCCTTTTTATTATAACTTTTAATTTTTACACCATGGTTTCACTAAGGATCCTGCTCCAAGGGACTCAAACCCTGAGACTGTGTGTCTCCAAGGGACATAAACCCTGAGACTGCTCCAAGGGACTTAAACCCTGAGACTCTTTCTTTCAATACAATTTAGAGAGTTTGACAGACCCCAAAAACAGACCAAAATTTAGCTAATATCCAATTATGCAGACTTTACATATTAAAAAAGGTGTCTGCTTACCTTATTTTCTTTGTCCGGACTGTTCGAGAGGTCGACCAACATCTTTTCCGCGTCGAAAAATTCAATTTAAACACAAAACAGAGAAAGTGAGGGAGCAAGAGCAAGCCCATCCAAAAGCGAGCCCTTTCAGCGTCCACTGGGATTTCTCCCCTTCCAGATAACGTGCTGTTGCTCCCACACGCCGAAAAAAAGAAACAGAGAAAACTCCCTCAAAACAATCCAGAGAATGGCGCACACTGAGCCGCGCATTCTCCACCAAATCTGTCAGGGATGAAGCAGACAGAGACGGATCGTGGTGCGCCAAACTCTGGAAGTTTATTCAAGTTTCTCTCAAGTTCCAGTTGTTTCAATTGTTTCTTTCTCTCAGACAGAATAAAGGCAGTACACAGTTTATATAGTCATTGTCACGTCACACATCGAAAGACGTACGTGTCACAAAGAGACAGTCAAATAATAGTCATAACATGGAGTCCTTGTAGAGTCCTTGTACAGTCCTGCACGTAGGCCATATTGCTATCTAATACTATCAAGGTTACTCCTTGTTACCATGGCGGCGCATGAACATGCTGCGGCTTCTCTCTCTCTTGACAAGGTGACGTTTCTACCCTTTTCTGCAAACTGCATTTGCAGTTTTTGTGATCCGCATTGTTTTGCAAGATGTTGTTGTACATCTTTGCCATGTTTTTGTGGAGTTCAGCGGATTTTTTACTGCCAAAGCTCTTTGCTAGCAATGAACAGAGGATGTGTTTTTAAAAGTAAACACACAGTTAGCATCTGAGCTAAAGGCTTTTTGAGCAGTATTTAAGACCTACAAATCCAGAGATATCATCTTCTGAAGCGCTGACAGGTCACCGAGGGCCCCACGCATCTGCAGCACAGTGGAGGCGTCACAAGAGGCGCTACAGGAGTCCCGGCCTCCGTTGTGTGCAACTTCTACAGAGGGACTGTAGAGAGCATCCTGACCAGCTCCATCACTGGGTGGCACGGCACCAGCACTGCCTCCTGCCGAAGGAGCCTCCAGCGCATCATGAGAGCAGCAGAGAAGATCTGTGGAGCCCTTCTCCCTACCATTAATGACATGTACTCCACCCGTCTCACCCGCAAAGCCGTCAGAATCACCAGGGACCCTACGCACCCATCACACAGGCTCTTCAGGGTAATGCCTTCAGGGAGGAGACTGCAGAATTTACGGAACAGTTCCAGTTGACTTAAAAACAGTTTCATTCACAAGGCCATCAGGAAGCTGAACTCCCTGCCCTCCCTCCCACCCCTCTTCCCCCCCGCTCCACAATCAAGGATGAGAGAAATATGATTTCAAACCATTCACTTGGTTTGACAAATAAAAATCTTGAAATCTTGAAATGATTGTAGCGGGCAGTAGGGGGCTCCCTTTCCTAAATGAGGAGTTGCCGCTTCCTGCCTAATAGAGGAAGTGGCCTCCCCTTTAAATATTCCCCCGCGCCTGGTGCTCAGTCTCGACTGCTGCTGGCTGGTGACAGGTGTGTTTTACCCTCCCTCGCTTTTAGCATTTTTAATCTGTTCTTAATTTACTTCTCTGGTTTTAGAGTCTTTTTGTAGGACTCCGGTGGTGGCTATTTTCCCCCGTTTTATCGCAATTTTAAGGTGGGACAAGCGTTTTAGCACTTTGTTTACATTTTATTGCATTTGAGTTTAACGTTTGTTTCCATTTTAATTGCAGATTTTAGCCTGCTACTGTTTTGTTTAGAGTTCGTTTTTGGGTTTCCTTTTTGAGTTGTATCATTTTTGTAGCTTTTAGAAACCCTTTTAGCTCTGCACCAGTCCTGTATAGCAGTCCCTGGGTCTTTTAGCCTTTTAGATTTAGTTTCCCTTGGATGTGCTTGGGCGGGGGATTTGGCCCATTTTTCTGTTTGCACTTGGTATTTTTGTTATTTAGTGCGTTTGTGGGTAGCACTTTCTGTTTTGTTTGGGGTGGGGCTACCCCCTCTCAAGCCATCCTTGTTTGGTTTCTGTTTAAGACTTGTCTGCTTTCAGATTTCGTTTGGCTCTGGCCCAGGGGCTGCCAGATTTTAATTGAACTTTACTTTTATCATATTGGCCATTTTAACCTGAATGTTACTTTTTTATAAATAAATATCATCCTTTTTAAACCTAATTCTGTTATAAATAAACTTTTAATTGCATATTTTAAAAGCACTGTCTCTGCTGTCTTTTACAAAGCTTACCTGTGTGTGTCCTTTGGTTTTATTAATACTTTAGTTATTTTATTGGTTATTTTTAAGTACCTCGGGTCACATAATGCTATTTCTTATGTTTGTTCTGAATAAGTGACAATGCTGTAGAATATCAAAATCATCTGCAGTAAATGTGTAAAATACATGTGTGTTGTTCTCAGTTACTCCCTAAATACAGTCCTGTGTCACTTTACTGTCGTTTTCAAACGTGTTTAGTGCTCAAGAGTCACCAACATCTGACTTTGGCTTTGAAAACAGAGTAAACCATTTGATCATAAACACTGGTGTCAGGCCTTATTGTGTTGTCCTCTGGTTCTTGTCCTCTGGTTCTTGTCCTCTGGTTCTTGTCCTCTGGTTCCTGTCCTCTGGTTCCTGTCCTCTGGTCCCTGTCCTCTGGTCCCTGTCCTCTGGTCCCTGTCCTCTGGTCCCTGTCCTCTGGTCCCTGTCCTCTGGTTCCTGTCCTCTGGTCCCTGTCCTCTGGTCCCTGTCCTCTGGTTCCTGTCCTCTGGTTCCTGTCCTCTGGTTCCTGTCCTCTGGTGCCTGTCCTCTGGTCCCTGTCCTCTGGTTCCTGTCCTCTGGTCCCTGTCCTCTGGTTCCTGTCCTCTGGTGCCTGTCCTCTGGTTCCTGTCCTCTGGTTCCTGTCCTCTGGTTCCTGTCCTCTGGTTCCTGTCCTCTGGTTCCTGTCCTCTGGTTCCTGTCCTCTGGTTCATGTCCTCTGGTGCCTGTCCTCTGGTGCCTGTCCTCTGGTTCTTGTCCTCTGGTTCCTGTCCTCTGGTTCCCGTCCTTTGGTCCCTGTCCCCTGGTTCCTGTCCTCTGGTCCCTGTCCTCTGGTGCCTGTCATGTGGTTCTTGTCCTCTGGTTCTTGTCCTCTGGTTCCTGTCTTCTGGTCCCTGTCCTTTGGTTCCTGTCCTCTGGTTCCTGTCCTCTGGTCCCTGTCCTCTGGTCCCTGTCCTCTGGTCCCTGTCCTCTGGTTCCTGTCCTCTGGTTCCTGTCCTCTGGTCCCTGTCCTCTGGTCCCTGTCCTCTGGTTCCTGTTCTCTGGTTCTTGTCCTCTGGTTCTTTGGTCCCTGTCCTGTGATTCCTCTCCTCTGGTCCTTGTCCTCTGGTCCCTGTCCTCTGGTCCCTGTCCTCTGGTCCCTGTCCTCTGGTCCCTGTCCTCTGGTTCCTGTCCTCTGGTCCCTGTCATCTGGTTCCTCTCCTCTGGTTCCTGTCCTCTGGTTCCTGTCCTCTGGTGCCTGTCCTCTGGTCCCTGTCCTCTGGTTCCTCTCCTCTGGTTCCTCTCCTCTGGTTCCTGTCCTCTGGTCCCTGTCCTCTGGTTCCTGTCCTCTGGTTCTTGTCCTCTGGTCCTTTGGTCCCTGTCCTGTGGTTCCTCTCCTCTGGTTCCTGTCCTCTGGTTCCTGTCCTCTGGTTCTTGTCCTCTGGTTCTTGTCCTCTGGTTCCTGTCCTCTGGTTCCTGTCCTCTGGTTCCTGTCCTCTGGTCCCTGTCCTCTGGTCCCTGTCCTCTGGTCCCTGTCCTCTGGTCCCTGTCCTCTGGTTCCTGTCCTCTGGTTCCTGTCCTCTGGTGCCTGTCCTCTGGTCCCTGTCCTCTGGTTCCTGTCCTCTGGTTCCTGTCCTCTGGTTCCTGTCCTCTGGTCCCTGTCCTCTGGTCCCTGTCCTCTGGTTCCTGTCCTCTGGTCCCTGTCCTCTGGTTCCTCTCCTCTGGTTCCTGTCCTCTGGTTCCTGTCCTCTGGTTCCTGTCCTCTGGTCCCTGTCCTCTGGTTCCTCTCCTCTAGTTCCTCTCCTCTGGTTCCTGTCCTCTGGTCCCTGTCCTCTGGTTCCTGTCCTCTGGTTCTTGTCCTCTGGTCCTTTGGTCCCTGTCCTGTGGTTCCTCTCCTCTGGTTCCTGTCCTCTGGTTCCTGTCCTCTGGTTCTTGTCCTCTGGTTCTTGTCCTCTGGTTCCTGTCCTCTGGTTCCTGTCCTCTGGTTCCTGTCCTCTGGTCCCTGTCCTCTGGTCCCTGTCCTCTGGTCCCTGTCCTCTGGTCCCTGTCCTCTGGTTCCTGTCCTCTGGTGCCTGTCCTCTGGTCCCTGTCCTCTGGTCCCTGTCCTCTGGTCCCTGTCCTCTGGTCCCTGTCCTCTGGTTCCTGTCCTCTGGTGCCTGTCCTCTGGTCCCTGTCCTCTGGTTCCTGTCCTCTGGTTCCTGTCCTCTGGTTCCTGTCCTCTGGTGCCTGTCCTCTGGTTCCTGTCCTCTGGTTCCTGTCCTCTGGTTCCTGTCCTCTGGTTCCTGTCCTCTGGTTCCTGTCCTCTGGTTCATGTCCTCTGGTGCCTGTCCTCTGGTGCCTGTCCTCTGGTTCTTGTCCTCTGGTTCCTGTCCTCTGGTTCCCGTCCTTTGGTCCCTGTCCCCTGGTTCCTGTCCTCTGGTCCCTGTCCTCTGGTGCCTGTCATGTGGTTCTTGTCCTCTGGTTCTTGTCCTCTGGTTCCTGTCTTCTGGTCCCTGTCCTTTGGTTCCTGTCCTCTGGTTCCTGTCCTCTGGTCCCTGTCCTCTGGTCCCTGTCCTCTGGTTCCTGTCCTCTGGTTCCTGTCCTCTGGTTCCTGTCCTCTGGTCCCTGTCCTCTGGTTCCTGTCCTCTGGTTCTTGTCCTCTGGTTCTTTGGTCCCTGTCCTGTGGTTCCTCTCCTCTGGTCCTTGTCCTCTGGTCCCTGTCCTCTGGTCCCTGTCCTCTGGTCCCTGTCCTCTGGTCCCTGTCCTCTGGTTCCTGTCCTCTGGTCCCTGTCATCTGGTTCCTGTCCTCTGGTTCCTGTCCTCTGGTCCCTGTCCTCTGGTCCCTGTCCTCTGGTCCCTGTCCTCTGGTTCCTGTCCTCTGGTCCCTGTCATCTGGTTCCTCTCCTCTGGTTCCTGTCCTCTGGTTCCTGTCCTCTGGTGCCTGTCCTCTGGTCCCTGTCCTCTGGTTCCTCTCCTCTGGTTCCTCTCCTCTGGTTCCTGTCCTCTGGTCCCTGTCCTCTGGTTCCTGTCCTCTGGTTCTTGTCCTCTGGTCCTTTGGTCCCTGTCCTGTGGTTCCTCTCCTCTGGTTCCTGTCCTCTGGTTCCTGTCCTCTGGTTCTTGTCCTCTGGTTCCTGTCCTCTGGTTCCTGTCCTCTGGTTCCTGTCCTCTGGTCCCTGTCCTCTGGTCCCTGTCCTCTGGTCCCTGTCCTCTGGTCCCTGTCCTCTGGTCCCTGTCCTCTGGTCCCTGTCCTCTGGTTCCTGTCCTCTGGTTCCTGTCCTCTGGTGCCTGTCCTCTGGTCCCTGTCCTCTGGTTCCTGTCCTCTGGTTCCTGTCCTCTGGTTCCTGTCCTCTGGTGCCTGTCCTCTGGTTCCTGTCCTCTGGTTCCTGTCCTCTGGTTCCTGTCCTCTGGTTCCTGTCCTCTGGTTCATGTCCTCTGGTGCCTGTCCTCTGGTGCCTGTCCTCTGGTTCTTGTCCTCTGGTTCCTGTCCTCTGGTTCCCGTCCTTTGGTCCCTGTCCCCTGGTTCCTGTCCTCTGGTCCCTGTCCTCTGGTGCCTGTCATGTGGTTCTTGTCCTCTGGTTCTTGTCCTCTGGTTCCTGTCTTCTGGTCCCTGTCCTTTGGTTCCTGTCCTCTGGTTCCTGTCCTCTGGTCCCTGTCCTCTGGTCCCTGTCCTCTGGTTCCTGTCCTCTGGTTCCTGTCCTCTGGTCCCTGTCCTCTGGTCCCTGTCCTCTGGTTCCTGTCCTCTGGTTCTTGTCCTCTGGTTCTTTGGTCCCTGTCCTGTGGTTCCTCTCCTCTGGTCCTTGTCCTCTGGTCCCTGTCCTCTGGTCCCTGTCCTCTGGTCCCTGTCCTCTGGTCCCTGTCCTCTGGTTCCTGTCCTCTGGTCCCTGTCATCTGGTTCATCTCCTCTGGTTCCTGTCCTCTGGTTCCTGTCCTCTGGTGCCTGTCCTCTGGTGCCTGTCCTCTGGTCCCTGTCCTCTGGTTCCTCTCCTCTGGTTCCTCTCCTCTGGTCCCTGTCCTCTGGTTCCTGTCCTCTGGTTCTTGTCCTCTGGTCCTTTGGTCCCTGTCCTGTGGTTCCTCTCCTCTGGTTCCTGTCCTCTGGTTCTTGTCCTCTGGTCCATGTCCTCTGGTCCCTGTCCTTTGGTGCCTGTCCTCTGGTCCCTGTCTTCTGGTTCCTGTCCTCTGGTCCCTGTCCTCTGGTTCTTGTCTTCTGGTTCCTGTCCTCTGGTGCCTGTCCTCTAGTCCCTGTACTATGGTTCCTGTCCTCTGGTCCCTGTCCTCTGGTTCCTGTCCTCTGGTGCCTGTCCTCTGGTGCCTGTCCTCTGGTGCCTGTCCTCTGGTCCCTGTCCTCTGGTCCCTGTCCTCTGGTTCCTGTCCTCTGGTTCCTGTCCTCTGGTTCCTGTCCTCTGGTCCCTGTCCTCTGGTCCCTGTCCTCTGGTCCCTGTCCTCTGGTCCCTGTCCTCTGGTTCCTGTCCTCTGGTGCCTGTCCTCTGGTTCCTGTCCCCTGGTTCCTGTCCTCTGGTCCATGTCCTTTGGTCCCTGTCCTTTGGTGCCTGTCCTCTGGTCCTTGTCCTCTGGTCCATGTCCTCTGGTCCCTGTCCTTTGGTTCCTGTCCTCTGGTTCCTGTCCTCTGGTCCCTGTCCTCTGGTCCCTGTCTTCTGGTGCCTGTCCTCTGGTTCCTGTCCTCTGGTTCCTGTCTGTAGTCTTTGTTGCTTCTTAGTTTGGACCATTTATCTGCTTTATCAGTTTATTATAAACATGATCATTCCTCCAGTGGATTTACGATGGTTCTACTTGGTTCGTACCATGAATCCTCTCTGCTCTGGACCAGTGTAAAACCATGAATCCTCTCTACTCTGGTCTGGACCAGTGTAAAACCATGAATCCTCTCTGCTCTGGTCTGGACCAGTGTAAAACCATGAATCCTCTCTGCTCTGGTCTGGACCAGTGTAAAACCATGAATCCTCTCTGGTTTGGACCAGTGTAAAACCATGAATCCTCTCTGCTCTGGTCCGGACCAGTGTAAAACCATGAATCCTCTCTGCTCTGGTCTGGACCAGTGTAAAACCATGAATCCTCTCTGCTCTGGACCAGTGTAAAACCATGAATCCTCTCTGGTCTGGACCAGTGTAAAACCATGAATCCTCTCTGGTCTGGACCAGTGTAAAACCATGAATCCTCTCTGCTCTGGTCTGGACCAGTGTAAAACCATGAATCCTCTCTGCTCTGGTCTGGACCAGTGTAAAACCATGAATCCTCTCTGCTCTGGTTTGGACCAGTGTAAAACCATGAATCCTCTCTGCTCTGGTCTGGACCAGTGTAAAACCATGAATCCTCTCTGCTCTGGTCTGGACCAGTGTAAAACCATGAATCCTCTCTGCTCTGGTCCGGACCAGTGTAAAACCATGAATCCTCTCTGCTCTGGTCTGGACCAGTGTAAAACCATGAATCCTCTCTGCTCTGGTCTGGACCAGTGTAAAACCATGAATCCTCTCTGCTCTGGTTTGGACCAGTGTAAAACCATGAATCCTCTCTGCTCTGGTCTGGACCAGTGTAAAACCATGAATCCTCTCTGCTCTGGTCTGGACCAGTGTAAAACCATGAACACTGAACTGGAGTCACATTTACAGGTAGAAAAAAGCTCTAAACGACTGTTTCAGAGCGACTTAGGACCTGCTGCAGTTTCCAGAACATTCCAAAGTAAAAACATTTGTACGTGTGTGTTCTACGGCGTCAGGCCGTGTCTGTAGATTGTATTCTTTCTCCTAAATCTTGCTACATTCATAATAAACTGGTAAAAGTTGTGAAGAAGATGACAAAGTCTGGGATCGTGTCTTTAATTCAGACAGAAGACATGTTTTATTGTTGATGGTAGAGCCAGCACGAACACAAACAAAATGCAAGCTAATATCCAGCAGGAGAAGCAGAGACCTCCAATCAGCGACTGCCACAGAGCAGCAGCTTCAGCCTTGAAATAACCAAAACATCAAGTGGAAAAGTACTGACTCGTGCAAATGTTAGAATGAGTTTGAACTTTAACCACAGTTGCTTCAAAGTGTCATGAAAGACCTAAAGTTGTAATCTCTGAACAACAAGGCATTCATAACACAGCGGTTCATAAGCATTACGTCATAGATCACAATGTCGACTCTTAGAACTTCCACAGAACAGTTTTACAATTTAAAAAGGTCATGATGAATATGATGCAATATTTCTTTCAATCATTTATTTATTTTGAACGAAGCAGTCGATATCACAGGCTGTAAATCAATTCTGTCTACCCCCCTTTCCCCCTCTTCCTCCTCCTCCTCTTCTCATTCATTTAGATGGGAGGCTCGAGGCGCCCATATAGACTTAGTATCACAGTCGCAGCTCTGAATATAAACCACACATGCACAGATTTAGCTCTGCGCTTAGGATGTAGATTGGACATCACAGCACAGAGCATGTTAGCATGCACGTATGGAGTATTGTCTAAAAAAAACCTTTGGGCGTGTGTCAAAATTTGATGCAGAAAACAAGACAAAGATTTTCAAGTTTAACATCTGTATTTAATTTATCTTTACAATCAGATACAGAAACTCAAAAAAAAGCTCCTTATCCTAACTATTTCTGCTCTCTTTCCCTATGGGCTCACCCTATCTGACTGAACTAAAACATCAGGCTAAATCATATAAGTAATAATGTGCAGAAGGGGCGTGTCGTATCAGCCAGTTCCTGGTCCCGGTCTGGACTCTGCATCAGGTCTGGCCTTTGTCTGGTTTCCCCTCCGCATCTCTCCATTCCACACCTAAAAAGGGATTCACACTTCCAACCTATAGATTTCTTCCTTCCTTGAGATAAGGAAGAAATCTCAAGGCTGCTGTCACTGGTCTGGCATCAATCTCCTCCTCTAAAGAACTCCCTTATTAGTCCAACAGCCCGCTTCATAAAGAACAAACCTATGAAACCTCAAACAACACTAACAACATAGTGTAAAAGTGTTAGTACATGAAATCACTGAAAATATAGACCACGTGTGCAGCATTTCTGAGATATGCATCAGGAGAGAGCTGTATCTGTAAAACATATTTAGAATATCTGTCTTCTATCTCCGCTGATCCACCATCAGAATTACAAATGATCAATCTCTATTGTTTATTCCCAAAACAAAACAGGCATAATTCTATTAGAAACAAGACTCATGTGGTGAATAGATCAGGTGACCTCTGGCCTGGGACCACTTTACTGAGTGCCCCCTGCTCATGGAGTGGTTCTTCCATGTGTCACTGTGTCCCCAGTCCCCCTCGCAGGGCTCCAGGATGGACACTCTGCACTGCTGGAGACTTACCCTCCACATGAAGGCCACACTCAGGGAAAACTCAGGGTGAGATGGAGGGGGATTATCTGAGACCCATGATGACCCTAGTCCTCTCTGCACTCGACCCACATGAACCCAGTGAGACCCAGGCCCTGCACGACTGCACCAACAGCCATAATAATGAGATTCTTCATGAGAAACTCCCCGTCTCTGACTCAGAGGTTCAAAATGAATGATTTAGGAATATTGAAACATTTCTTAGGAATGGATTTTGAACAAACTAATGGACAAGTCAAAATGTCACAAGAGGGATATGTGAAAAAGATTTTTAGAAAGGGTTGAAATGCAAAATGAGAAAAACTCCTTCCGAACCAATTCCAAAACTTGATTATACAGAAAATGCAAAAATGTTAAAACAACCCCGACAACACAGAGAGGCAGTGGGAAGTATAATTTACTGATCCACTTGCACCAGACCTGACATCACTTATGTTGTCAGTAAACTTTCTCAACACTTTAGTGAACCAACTGTGGAACACTGGAATACAGTGAAACATGTGTTCAGGGATCTCAAAGGTACTACTGAACAAAGACTATACTTCAAAAAGAACACCACAGAAAAACTTGGTCTAAAAGTTTACTGTGAGGCAAGTTGGGCTCAAACGAGACAGACAGACGTAGCACATCAGGATATTGTGCCAGTCTATGTGAAAGAGAGTTCACTCATTTCATGGAAAACACAGAAACAACCGACAGTAGCCCTTTCTACATGTCGAGCATATCTCTTTAGCTTCAGCTGTACAGGAGTGTCTTTACAGCTACTTCAAGATTTAGACAGTTACAAATATGTTAAAACAAAAGTGTACGAAGACAACTAAGGAACAATAACACTCACAAAGAATCCTGTTAACAGACAAAGATGCAAGCACATAAGATAAGATAAGATAAGATAAGATGTGCTTTATTTATCTCACATAGGAGAAATGTACATGTCACATTTGGCATGGATAGAACACTCAGATTGTGCAAAAGGAGGAAATGTGCAAACATGTTACATGCAGGATAATTATGTACGACAAAAGTGTCAATTGGAAACAGTGTCAATAGTAGTGCAGGTTTTCAAACAGTGACTATTTAAAGTGACTTGTTGTACAGTCTGACAGCAGTGGGGATAAAGGCCCTGCGGTAGCGCTCCTTCTTACACTGAGGGTGCCTCAGTCTTCCACTGAAGGAGCTCCTCAGCTCCTCTACAGTCCTGTGCAGTGGGAGGTGTTGTTCATGATGGAGGTGGCTTTGACTAATAATAATAATAATACATCAAACTTGTATAGCGCTTTCTTGGACACTCAAAGACGCTTCACATGGGGAGTAGAATACAATAATAAAAAGGGGTTTACGGAAAAGCTTGTTTGAAAAGATGGGTTTTGAGTACAGATTTAAAGTTAGATAGTGAGTCAGAGTTTCTAATGAGCAGTGGGAGTGAGTTCCAGAGGGTTGGGGCGGCAATGGCAAAAGCTCTGTCCCCCAAGGTTTGGCGGTTAGTGCGGGTGATGGGGGTGAGGAGGTTGGAATTGGCTGAGCGAAGGCGGTGGGTCGGTTGGTGCTGCTGTAGGAGCTCAGTAAGGTAGGGCGGGGCCAGGTTATGGAGGGACTTGTAGGTGAGGAGGAGGAGCTTGTAATGGATGCGGTATTGAACGGGGAGCCAGTGGAGCTGCTGGAGGACAGGGGTGATGTGTTCTCTGGACCGGGTGTGGGTGAGGAGGCGGGCTGCAGAGTTCTGGATGTATTGCAGTTTTTGGAGATGAGTGGTGGGAAGTCCGTAGAGGAGGCTGTTGCAGTATTCGAGTCTGGAGGTGATGAATGCGTGGATGAGGATTTCGACTGTTGACTGGGTAAGGGAGGGGCGGAGGCGGGCAATGTTGCGGAGGTGGAAGAAGGAGGTTTTGGTGATGTGTTTGATGTGGGTTTGGTATGAGAGGGTGGAGTCCAATATGATGCCAAGGTTGCGTACAGAACATGAGGGGGTGACAATGTGACCGTCAATGAGGAGGGTGAAGTTCTGGACAGAGGGCAGGAGAGTTTTGGGGCTGATGATGAGGAGTTCTGTTTTGTTACTGTTGAGTTTGAGAAGGTTATTGTCCATCCAGGTTTTAATGTCGGAGATGCAATTTTCAATGGTGGAGCGAATAACCGGGGTGATGGATTTGGTGGAGATGTAGAGTTGCGT